CTGGCCACACAGGGACCCTGGCAGCACGAGGACCCTGGCCGCACGAGGACCCTGGCCGCACGGGGACCCTGGCAGCACGGGGACCCTGGCCGCCCGGGGACCCTGGCAGCACGGGGACCCTGGCCGCATGGGGACCCTGGCCGCATGGGGACCCTGGCCCGCCGGCGGTCCACCCTTACGCACCACAGGAGCCGCAGCACGGAGCAAACAGCATCTGGAAGTCGTGTTCGCAGTACTTCCGGCCTTCGAACTGCAAATGGGCGCAGAGCCAGCGTCATCCCGTGTGCACGGCGGCTGTCCGGTCAGAGCCTGTCTCAGGCAGACGGGCACCCACTCTGCTACCCTCCCGGGGGCACCGCCCTCCCCAGAGAGGCTTCCTGCAGGGAGTATGAACAGCGGAGGGACAGGTGGGGGCTGAGAGGAGGCTGCAGAGAGGGAGCAGCCTCGAGGCCTGGAGGCCGGGGTGCGGAGGGAGGCCTCGGCCTGCTGTCTGCCGCAGCGACCGCCCTGGGGTCCCGGCGCCTGCCTCGGCTGGGGACGCAGGCTGGGAAGGCTGGGCAGGTTGGCATTGCATGTGTCACTTTGCCCCATGCCCTGTGTTCTCTCTGTGTGAGACGTCCATTTCCCAGAGGCCACAGGGAAGGAATACAGGAAGGTGGGGCTGGAGAGAGAGCCCCAGTCCCAGGCAGCGGGCACCAGTCTCCCACCTTCTGTCTGGGCCCGAGCACCTGGCACAGACCCGCAGGCGCCAAAGCCTGCTTTGCTCTCTCCTCCCGGACACTGGCCCTGGTTTCCGTTCTCTAAAATGAGTGTCTTACAGGCTGCAGCTGCATCGGGCCATCCAGGGACACGAAGGGGCAGCAGGGTATATGTTCACTCAGGGTGAATATTTCCTGAGCACCTACTATGCGCCAGGCTTTGTTCCAGACACAGGGCCCCCACTCCCACTGCCGTGCAGCTGGCTAGCCTTTCCCAAAGCGCCAGGCAGACCCGGGGCGCCCATCAGTCCTCCGTCAGCTCTGCCTGGGAGTCTACGGGCAGCCCGCGCAGGGCGGCTGCAGGGCGGGGCCGATCAGCGGCTCCGGTGCACACATTCCACCAGGCGAACCGGGCACGGAGCTGAGCCACCGCTCACACAGCGCCAGCCACACAGGTGCCCAGAAATAACTTCAAAGGCACAGGTGACAGTAAAATGTACTAAAATAGGAAGTGGTGGGTTTCGAGTCTTTTTACCTTTGTTTTTAATAAAATTTATCTCGTACATTTACATAATTTAATTTTTAATCACTCTGTCCAACAACCAACTTGCAAGATTAATGAAAACTTAACAATGTGCTTTTGTGAGTAAGGTTGCCAGTCTAGCCACCTTCCCTGCGTCTGGGTTACTGTGAAAGCCAGCCTCCACCCCTGCATCCCCAGCCTCCACTGCCTGCTCCCCCAACCTCCACCGCCTGCTCCCCCATGCAGTCTCTCCTCAGTCCAGCAGCCCGGGGTCCCTTCCCAACGTGGGACAGATGGATTTCTGGGCTCCACACCCTGCATGGCTCCTGCCCCTCCCACAGTGAAATCCTAAGGCCCCACAAAGGCCCACCGAGTCAAACCACTCTGCCCCTGCCCTCACCCCACTAATCCCTCCCTCTGCTTCCTTCACACTCACCTGCCACTGCTCCTCAAGCCGCCTCCCCGACCTCAGGCCCTTTGCACTTGCTGTGCCCGGCTGAGTGCTCTTCCTGCCGCTGCATGTGGGCTCCCTCCCCTCCTCCGGGGCTGCTCCCCCTCTCTGCC